TCCCTATAGGATGTACCCTACTTAAACTGATCCTTATAGGATGTACCCTACTTACACTGGCGTAAAAATGAACTAAGAAAATTGAAAATTATAAAATTTGACAGCTGTCACAATGTATTCCACAATAAACCGACGTAGATTTGCTTGCAAACTATGCCCAGGAGAGTCCTAGGTAAACTCGGGGGATCGCGGCAAGCCTCGATTTCCTTGCTGGCGAGTGACGTCATCGTGTAGTCTTCCGTCGGACTAATTTATTTGAGTATTAGTCCTTGTAAAATAGTTGTTTAGTAATTTTGTCGCAATGAGAGGGGTGTTGCTGAGTATGTTTGTTAAATGTCTCGTCTGTAGAGATTTAGCTTCTCATGTAAGCATCCATGCCTCCTGTCTCTGGCATTTCCGCTGTGCTGTGATAGGATATCTTCCTTGATATTTTCCGGTATATTGTGTGAGTAGAATTTTTCGGCGGTAATGTACTCTTTGACAGTGGGCATGGATGTTTCGAGGTACATGTCGGTAATTCTGGCGTAGCGGTCGTACCCCAAGGCCAGCCGAAGACACATGTTTTGCACTCTTTGGAGTTTTTGAAAATGACTGTGTACGATAGAGCAGTAGGCTGGAGATCCGTAGGTTAGGATGGGTCGAATAATTTGTTTGAATAGAAGTAGTTTATTTTCTCGAGTAACTCCACTACGTCTATGAAGCATAGGATATAGGATGCGAATCATAGCCGTAGTTTTGTTAACTCGATCCTCGATGTGTTTTTGGAACGTTAGCCCCTTGTCGAGGATAATCCCGAGGTACTTGAATTTAGTGGTCGTGGGTATTACGTTAGTCTGAATTTTTAGGTCCTTAATTATTCTGTTTGACCTCATTTTGGTAATCAGAACCGCTTCGGTTTTCTGAGCGTTTAATTTGATTTTGTTTTTATCCAGGTAAGGGACTAACGTTCTATTCGTGTGGATCTCCAGTCTTCTCATAGCGATTTCCGCTGAAGCCGAGGATTTAAAAATGCAGGTATCATCGGCATACAGCGCCGTCTGTATACCATTAAGTCCCATGGGTATATCATGAGTCATGATGGTATACAGGTGGAGCGAGAGTACCGAACCCTGAGGTACTCCCGCTTTGGCAGTATATGGTCTTGTTATTGTGTCGTTAATTTTTATGTGGAATGTTCTGTTATGTAGGTAGCTTAGAATTGTTTTAACAATATACACGGGGTAATCCTTCACAAGCATTTTGTAGATTAATCCGTCAGTCCAAACCGTGTCGAAGGCTTTAGCAGCATCTAAAGCCACTAGCACAGTCTGTTGATTTTGATTAAAAGCTTTTTTAGCGTAATTGGCTATTCTGATTACCTGTGCTACTGTGCTGTGGCCTGCCCTGAACCCCGTATTGTTCTGACGGAATAATCGGGTTATCAATTTCATGTGTGTGTAGTCTGTTTAAAATTACTCTGTCAATGATTTTGGCAATTCCGTTTAGTAATGAGATAGGGCGATAGCTTTCAACAGCCCTGGCATTTTTACCTTGTTTTAAGATAGGGATGACATTTGCTATTTTTAAATTAGCAAGGTAGTGCTGCAATTTAAATACCGCATTGGTAATATGGTTCATTTGTACATAAGCTTTGAGGGTTAGATTTTTAAGGAGATTGTTTCCGATGCAATCTGGTCCCGGAGCCCTTCTGTTGTGCAATCTCTTTACCACATCCCTGATTTCTTGGGGTGATGTATGTTTATTATTCGGCACTGTATCTCGATTCATGAGTTTATTGTCATTAACAATGTTTTCAATATCTTGGTGCTCTTGGGTGTTAGCAGTATTTTTTAAAAAATTTTCTGAAAGAGTTCGCCGAACGCTTCACCCTTTTGTAAGTCCGTAGAGCACACCTTGTCTTCGTAATTCAATGTGGGAAGCCGCGAGAAGGGTTTGGTGAAGCCTTTCGCAATTTTCCACATTGAACTGTCCTGGGGGTTGATTGATTCCAGGGTTTTCTCCATTTTTGATTTCGAAATTCGCTGATTAGTTTGTTAACGTGTTTCCCGATGTCATGGAGTCGAACCCTGTCATCAACCTGTCTATGTTGCTGCCAGCGTCTGCGTATGTAGTTTTTGTTAGTGATCAGGTCTAGTATATTTTGTGGTAAGTTTTCTCGATATTGTCCGTGTGTTTTTGTTTTAGTGGAGGCGTCTCTAGCCCTGATGATGGCTGTGGTAAGTTTTTGTATTTCCTCGTCTAATGTGTGTTCGTTCGTAATCTTATTGTTAATTTCAAGATTGTTGTCAAGTGTTTGTCTGTAAAGTTTCCAATTTGTGTTTTTGTAGTCTAAATACTTACCATGTGATCTGATTATTTTGTGGTTAGTTTTAAGTTCCAGAAACACAGGGTCGTGGTCCGAAGTCAGAGTTTTGATTGTTGTTATTTGTTGTATGTTTGGTAGATTTTTGGCCACGGCGATGTCGAGTGTGCTCGGTGTCATGCCGCTATAGGGGTAGTGTGTAGGTTCGTCCGTGTAGTGAATGATGAAGTCATGCGTTTCGGCGAACCCGTCCAGAATTCTCCCACTATGATTTGGTGTATGGCAATTTGAATCCCAATGGGGATGTTTGGCATTGAGATCGCCCATCAGAAGGACTCTTTCACCCATTGACATGACTGTGTAATTCTAGGGTCGTAAGATTATTGCATGGATGATTATATGCTCCAACGAATATTATGTTTTGGGTTTTTATTATTATATGCTCGAATGACAGATCAAGGTTGTTGTTGTTCATAACTTAGTGAGTTTTTAATTATAAAAGCTATCCCCCCACCTTTGTGCGTCATATTGTCCAGTCTAATTACATTGTAGTCTTTTATTTTAAGTTTGTGGGCGGGTTTGAGTCTAGTTTCCGAAATAAGTACAATATCAAACCTATGTTTGTGAATGAAACTGCTTACCATGGGTATTTTGTTAAGCATCCCATTTGCATCGAAAAAAAAACAGATTCTAAGCGTGTCTAATTTGCCACCGTGTAGTTCAGTTTCTAAAATTGTAGCTGGCTAGGTCTGAAACGAATTCATAATAAGTAGTGAAAAATTCAGCATTATTCTGACATTGAGTGAGTCTATAATTTAATTCGCGCACGGCTTTAATTAACTCGCCAATATTAACCAATTTACCTAATTTTGAGAATTCGTTGTTTAAGGCTAGGATGTCGTTCATTGGCGGAGGTCTGCTGTTGGGGGCGTGGCTTGTGGCGGTAGATATACTCTCTGCTCGCTTGCTGGGCAGCATTCGTGTTTGTGTTAGTGCCCGGGAGGGCTGGGAAGTTTTCTCGATTCTGCGATGTGGCTCGCCGACGGTCCCATACGTTTGCTGTGGGGGTCGGTGCAGGGATGAACTTCGGTTTTTGTGTGTTATTTCGTCTTCTTTTTTCTTCCATTTTGTCTAGTCTCTCCGTATAGGAACGACATTTACTGTAGTTCGCAGGATGATCCTGTCCACAATTTGCGCAGGTGGCTGCCGCGTCTTAGCTTTTAGTGCATGTGCGAGTATGATGTTCTCCTGCACATTTTAAGCAGCGGTGTGGCCTCCCGCAGTTTGTAGTAGCGTGTCCCCAGAGTTGACAGTTATGACACTGGATTATCTGTTTAATGGACTTCCTGAGCTCCCAAATGACTCGTGTGTAGAGCACTCTACGTGTATTTTTATTAAGATATAATCCAGTGTCAGAGAAGGGTCGGTGACAACTAGGAATAGTGGACGGTTTTTGGTGTTCATTTTGAAGATGTTTCTGGCCTTTATGTCATACTGTGTGATAAGGTTATCTTCTATGTCCTGGAGTTTGGAGCCGTCTGCCAGGCCTCGCAAGACAAAGGCGTGAGATTTTTCATCAGTGGTAGTGTAGGTGTGGTGTGCGATGTTTTCGTCCCTTACACTCTGTAGTACCCTTAGGTGACCTTCTTTCTCATCTTTGAATAGTATAGTGGAATTGTTGGTATGTTTCACACTAAAACCACCTTTTACCTTGGACCTGAGATCATTAATGAGTGTCGTTTGATTGACGGTTTTGCCATCAACCACTATTGGGGGCATAGAAGCTTTTTTATTGCCAGTGGCCTGTGTTACTTTGACTGGGGGTTTGTTTTTAACAACTGCTTTAGTGTTTTCGCGCGAGACAGGCTTCTCATTGTTTGTGGATTTTGTGGTGGTGTCTTTAGGGGTGTTTTTTCTTTTCCTCTTGACGATTTTGCCTATTTCGTCGTCGAGATCCGAATCTGAATCGTCAGTAAGGGCATTAGACCTGTTGCTCGTGGTGGTGAGAGTGTGTTTGGTCTTTTCCCTGATCAGCCTTTGGAAATTCGAGCTGAATTTCCTCGGTGTTTCAAAGGGTAGTTCTTTGTGGTTGGTTTGACTTTCGCCAGTGTCCATTTCAGGGGGATTATTGTTTAGCGCATGATTCCAGGTGCTGTTTGGCGAGGTGGGAAGTTCCCATCTTCCTAATGAGTCGACACCTGTGGCACCCATGTCTTCTTCTGAGGGGTATTCTCCCAGATTGAAATCGTTTATAGTGTCGTGCACTGCTTTAGGTATGTCTGTGTTTTTTTTTTTGGGTATTATCTGTATAAGGGTTGCGAATTGGTATTGGAGTACTAACCCGGGGGTCTGTGTCCATGTTGTGTGCTGTAGTTGCATTTTAAAATAAGGATTCACCGAGTTTCGAGCTACTCAGTTCACCCGTCATTCGGCTAGTCCTTATTCATGCAATTTTTCTTGGGTTGGTTTTCTCCATACTCATAAAAGTTGGATTAAATTTTTTCGATATGGCTCCGGTGTTAGTGTTATGGAGTTGGGTTGTGTGCAAATCGGTGCCTGGACCGAAATTTAGCATCCTGGCCCTCGTTCCAGGGGGCATTTCCACCCTTTTAATGGTCAATTTTCCGGGATGCTTAGATTCAGCCACATAGGCTGATTGGAAGGCCTGTTTCTGTGCTGTTGGGGTGCTGGTATTATTTCATATGTTTTGGAATGTTCCTTGGGTCGGAAGATCTTGGGGGTTGGGGTGGTTTACCCCTTCAGTGGACCTTGTCGTGTTGGTTTCCTGATTTGTACTTGTGTGATCATCTGCGTCCACATAGTCATCGGATTTATCCTCACTGGCACTTCTGCTAAGGAGGGGAGTGTTTAAATCAGAATTTTCCGGTATTTGGGTATTCTCCGAGCTTTTAGGGACTTTCTCCATACTTTCATGGGCGTTCTCCATACTTTTTTGTGTATTCTCTGTAATTTTGCCAGGACCGTGGTCTGAGGCTTGTTGTTTTGTTCCTGTGTTTACAGGGACTGGGTTTTCTAGGGTGGAGTTGGCATTTTCTGTGGAGTTATCAGTTTGTGGGCCTGCCTCGTTGCTTTTTATAGTAGTATCCATGCTCTCGTCCGAGCTGGATGAATCATTTAGGTCCCCGTAAACTTCCTCTAAGAGTGTTTGAGGGTCGTTTAGAGGTCGTTTCGGGGAATTTTTTGACAGGGGTTCCCTCTGTTTTGTGCAGCTGATCCCTGGTTTAGTATTATCTGTGGTTAGTCCTATTAACGTGTCTTTACTCACTGTGAACGTGGATTGCAGTTTGGTTTTTGCCTTAAACTGTTCTGATGTCTGAATTTTTGATATGTTCTTCAGTTCTTCAGTGTCCTCCATCGGTTTCTTTGGCGTTTGGAATAGATTGTGGGGTACTCGGAGAGATTAGGGTTGTTTGCCCCGGAGGGCTCTGCCATAGAGCGGGTGCTCCTTACTGATGTGTTTACTTATACCTGGCTGTCTCGAACGTTAAATTGCAATATGAAAGGTGTGGATTTATAGGTTAGAAACCTTGCGTCGCTATTCCAAACTACGAGGATAGAACAAACATTTCCGCAAGCTTCCTTTGGCAAGTACAAAGGTACCCTTCCATACACTTATAAATATTCTTTACTTATTTTATTCGACTTTTTTTATTTTTTAAATTTTGATTTATTTAAATGTATAGTCAGGTAAAATAAATATAATGATATGAATATAAGAATTTAGATGTATAATTTATTTTTAATACCCAGTATAGCTGGCTCAGTAATTATATAACTTTTTTATTAGATGATGAATATTTGTATTTGAATTTTGGGTTGGGTTCTCTCACTTGTATTTCTTACTATCAATAATTTAGATAATCAAAAGAAAAGAAAAATAAATAAAAAAAATTAAACTCACCTACGAAATCACTATAACTTTTCACTTCCAAATATCAATTTACCTATTCCCTCTATATTTGATTTGATCACAGTGTATTGTAATTTAGACTAAAAATAAAAAAAAATAACTTTAGAAATTATATTATTTTTTATTGTCGTCTTCTTCTTTTCAGCCTTGTCTGCACTTCCCTCTCCTTACTCTCCTATTTACACTGCTATTGTTCTACCGCCTGCCTTATTTCTGCTATCTTGCCTTGCTTTCTGCTTTAATCTTCTTCTGCTACCTATCTATTTTTGCTCCTATCGTTCTGCCTCCTGCCTTATTACTGCTATCTCGCCTTACTAGTTTTCGCTTACTCTTTATTTTAAATAAAATTTTTCTTTTACCTTATTTTTAATATTCTTTATTCAATTCTCCATCTTATTACAATCTTTAACATTTCATATTTCTATTTATCTCTCATCTTTACATAAAACCATCATTTACCATCTTACAAAAAAAAAACCATTGACAATTCTCCCCTGACAATCAATAATTTATTTCCAAAACTTCCAAATTGACTTTTCCCCGAAACATTGATTTTCATTTTTATTTTCAAAACCAAACATAGTGTTTAATTTTTAGTTAACCAAATTACGTCATAAATCCTCCAAAATTTTGTAATTAACTAATTTATTTCCAAATAAATTATTGAATACCAAATTTTCAAATGACCAAAATTTTTCTTTTCCCCATTTTATCCAAATTATTGATACCTAACATTCCATATTCACTCATATTCCTATTCTTTCAACAACAAAAATAACAATAGCAAATTAAAACAAAATTCAATTCAATTAATTTCAAATTAAAATTATTCAACTTCTTGCAACAAATAATGAAATTAAATTAAATTTAACATTTTTAACAGAATCATAATTAACAAAATGTAACATTAAAATCTTTTTAACTCTATTTCAGAACTTTGCAATTGTAATTATATAATAAAACGAAATAAAATTTAATATATTTAACAAATTTATATTTTCTTAATCTCTTTATTGCAATACCACAACAAAGGAAGTCCACTCGACATATTTCTAATATTCAATTTTTTTGTTACTAACTCTCTGAAATTTTTGAGTTTGTTTTGAACTATTGTTACAAAAACTTCAGGATGGATGTTTATATTTTCATCAAAGTTAATCCCCTCATCAATATAATTAAGTGCTACAGTTAATCTTCCTCTTAAATTTTGTCTTAAATTTTCCTTTATTCTTAAAATATCCTCTGTCGTGTTTTGCATTTTCCTATTCACCCCCTCTATTTTCTCTTTAAAATTTATTTCTTTAATCACAGATCCTTTAATACAACTCACTGCTTGTTCCTCAACTGTCACTGTCAAATTCTTATCTCTGTAGTGCCTTGGATGCACTACATATTACCTCCAACTCATAATATATTGATACATGTCACACACATGCCACACATATCAATATTACCTTTTAAGGCAGCTTAGTGGCAAAATTTAAGTGCACCCTATCTATCTACTTGACGACCTCGGTTGCCAAGCATTAATATTTATTTAAAAATAAAAAATGTCATTATTTAATTTTCTGTCATGACGGAATTGTCTATTTTATTATATTAATATATACCCTTTTACAAACCGCTATATTATTTACAAGATGGGATCCCCAAAGTTAATAGATCCCATAATCTCCTTGTCAACAATTTCTTTACAATTAAGTATGGCCTTTTCATGTACCTGTCCCTGTAAATTCATGTGCCCAATTTCCCTATTCAACATCAGTGGCGGCTTGTCGTAATTTAAAATGGGTGTTCACTTTTTCCAATAATTTTGTCATATGTAAGTTCGGATCAAAACTTTGTACAAGAGTTAATATCGCTGTTTTTTGTATTATTTGAGTTTGTATTAAGTGAAGTTATTATTATCAACATCATACTGTTTTTTCAAGCACTACAACTATTAATAAATGAATATTTTAGTTAGTGTGATATTTGTTTTGTTTTTAATACGTTGAAAACCATCTATAAACATTATTAGTTAGTAAACTGACTTTTCTTCATAATTTGAGATTATTTTTAAATATATATCAGGTGATGTAGAAAGCTTGACATTGATTTTTGTGTAAAAAAATTTATATGAAACTTTACCTACCATTTTTTAGTTTTTATTGTAAGATTAATCATTTTCACAATTTGTCATAGATGTCAAATAAAAAACATATCTTTTATATACCTTTTATTGGCAAATAAAATAAGAACTAAATGTTTTAAATGTTTATTTTATAAGATCAGTCCCATCACAATACATAATATTACACAGACACAAACTAGAATAAAGATATATAATGCCTGGAATTTTAAATGATATTCTTCACAGTTTAACAGACCTTCTAAACCCCCATTTTTAAGCAGATTGTTTTCACCATCAATAAGCCTCATCTCCTTATAGACCTTGATTTTTACTAAAAATTTCATGTTGATATCTTTTTTCATTTTTGATTTTTTTTTTTAATTTCAACCCCCTTTATTTTTTTTATATAATGAAAGGGCTTCTTCTCCTTTTAGAGATTGATGTTTGCTAAAAATTTCAGTTTTTCAGTTAGGATTTTTTTTATATTTTAACCCCCCCAATATATTCATGTTTTTTTCAGTATAAATAGGCTTTATCTTCTTATAAAGCTACATTTTTACTAAAAATTTCATATTGATATTGCTTTTCGTTTAGAATTTTTTTTAATTTCAACCCATCTTAACCCCCCATTTTTAATCAGATTTGTTAAAAATCAACAGGCTTTGTCCCCTCATAGAGCTTGATTTTTGCTTAAAATTTTCAAGTTCATATTATTTCTCATTTTTGACTTATCGTGCAGACAAAAAACGTGACATCGGACAGACAGACAAAGTAAACCTATAATACTCTTCACATAATACTTTATGAAGAGTAGAAAAAAATGTATAAGGTAAAATAAACAATTTAAAAAGTTCAACAATAATATTCAACTTTGTAACCTATTTTTTTCTTTTGACAAAGAGTTTAGGTTATATACAGCACAGCAGCTCTACCATCGGTGGTGGCATAAGAGTGTGAGTTTTGTTGCCTTGAAATTTAATTATTTTAAATTGACTTTAGATACACTTAAATAAAATACAAAAAAGAGTATTTAAACCATAGATGGACGCCACTGAATTTTTTATAGATTAAAAAATTTGGTATTATTTGATAAAGAAGTTTTTAAAATCTAAAGGTAAATTCAGAAACCATAGTAAATAAAATTTAAATAATTAAACCATAAATACATGAATCTGCAAATAGACACTTGTGGAGATGATCATGATATTCTGTGAAATAAAAGTCATACATAATTTAAATTGAATTTAATAGAAAAATAAATGAAAGTGATATATTAACAATATTTTCTCAATTTGTTCGATGAGCATTAAATTAAATTCTTTGCTCAGAAGAGAAATAATGATATGTTAACAATATTTACCCAATTCATTTGATGAATCAAACTCTAAAAGTAATAAAATTGGAAGTATTTTCTCAATCCACTCATCAACATTTAAATTTATAAACGGTAGGAACAATATAATTGAAAATACTCAATTCATTTTTAAACGGTTAATTTTATAGTCAATAGAAATCGTGTAATTGAGAATATCCTCTCAATTCATTCGCCAATAGTTGGAGAAATATATGAATAATAAAATAAGAAGGTTTATTTATACCTATCCGAGACGTCTTGTTAAAATTAAGGTATATTGTTTTGAGTACTCAACATAATATTTACAAACTGGTTGTAAATAAAAAAAACAAAAAGTATTCTTAAAACTAAATCATGCAGAAAATAAAGAAACACCCCTTTCAAAATATAAGTAAAGTGTCCAAATAGACATTGCAAACATATTGTTAAAATTAAAGAAAAAATAATAAATACCAAAATATAATCCTAGGTCTGACAGCGGCACTAGAAAGAGCCCTCTGTTAGGCTACACACTGCACACCGAAGCTCATCATGTTACAGGACTGCTTGGGGCACGGGACCATCGTAAAATAGTTCGAAATAAAAAGGAAATCTTTGCTTCGCAGGGTAAATAAAACGGCAGCATACTGGCAAGACAGAATTCCATTCTGTAGCTTTCTGAAAATAACCATCCAAAGAAAATGCAGGAGCAGCAAAGGAAATGACTTACCTCTTTTGAGGGTTCTGTCTGCTACCGGGATCCAACAACACGTGAAAGAAAGTATCTCTCGGCGTTTCACTTGCCTCAGATTTTGCTCAAAAACCAGATTCGTCCAAAATAAAAGTAACATAAACATTGGAACGGGACCCTTGGACATAACAAAAATCGGAAACTAATTTTTGCTCATCACTATTTAACACAATGCAGAGCTAAATCCCAACGGCAGTCTTCTTCCAAAAATCAAATCGGAAAAGGCCGAAAAAAAAAGTTTCTAGCGA